TTCCCAATCATCTGTTTAATTTAATCCTTTTCCAGTTGAAAAAATCTAGAAAGATCAGGAAAATCTTTCCTCTCCAGCAATGGCAAGAGAAACCACGATCTGAGAATCAGCAGCAAATTAAACTAAGATAATATACAAGATTTCCATTAGTGAGAAGAGAAATTAAAAAATGAGAGTTGGAGAATTGGAAAGTGCTAGTGTAGTGCCATCAAGGGCACTGAGCAGGATATCTATGATCCCGGCACACTGGGTAAAGGAGGATTCCTGGAGCCCTCGGTGGCTTTCTCAGGCTTTTATTAAGCTTTCACATGTAATGTAGCAACCAGGTACATGGCAGGCAGGGGTGCCAGGGGGCCAGGAGGCCTCCAAGCCCCGGGGCAAGTCTTCACTCTAGGCTTCTCTGGCTTGTTTCTCCCCTTCTCTCTCCTGCCTGTTCTGCTTTTCTCCTGCCTGTTCTGCTTTTCTCCTGCTTCTGCTTCTCTTGGGGAGTATCTCAATATTCCTCCCATGGCCCAAAGAAGTAATCAACACAACAATGTAACAACTGTAGGTGCCCCATCAGGCAGGGCAATCCTAATGGTGGGAGGGCAGAAAAGCCTGAATTTTTACCTACAATCCACCCCCTCAGGGTTTTCCGCCATACATTCTATATACAAGTATATACAAGTTTCCTTTAACAAACACAAACACAGCAGCCATGGCCCACAAAAGAAAATAATGATGAAATACAACAGAACACAAATATTTCCAGGCAGGGCACCAAATTATTGGCACCAGCAGATCATATACCACTTCTGCTGCCGAGGGCACTGCTCATTCAAGGGAGGGGAACAACTCAGTCATCTGCCGTCACACACCAGGAGCCATCAGGCTTTCTGGCCTTCTCTGGCTGTGGTCCCAGCCACAAGCCTCACACATCATCCACCCCAAAGATGCACTCACTCTTGGATTGGCCATTCTGTACTTTGGGGGTAATTGCCCAATCCTCAGGGTTTCTGTCTGCGGTCACTCCAACACTCGGCTTTCATAGCCACCAATGCAACACGCAGACCCCTGCATTCAGGCCAACCCATTGCACAAGCACATGGTTTGGGGATCTGTGGATACAAGCTCCACATGCGGCCTCTCTTGGGTCCCCTCTCCGGCTGTGGCCTCCACCACAAGCCACGTTCCCCACCTGTTCCCCAAGGACGGGTTCCTCAGCTCCTCACCCTCACCGTGAGCAGGGCATCACCCACAGGTGATTTTAAGAGACTCACTGGCCTTCGGTAGCATACTCAGGCTGCTTCACAGCCGCTCAAGACTTCCCAATTTCAGCACCAGCTTTTGCCTTTCTAAGTTGGCTTTTTTCCTCTGCCTAGCTACTAGGCAGTATACAGGCTGCTTTTGGCCATCAAGGCCCACTGGCCATCCCCAGATTCTCATCTCCTGGGATGTACAAACAATACCATCTTCCCCCAGGGTCCCCAAAACATAACATTACCCTGCCAAAGTTCCGCCACCTTCTGGCGGGATTGTAAGTCCAAGTCCGTCAGGTTTTTCCTACATCAGCACTGGGCGAGCTCCAAATCCTGGTCCTTTCTTCCCCTACGATTCTGCCACAGGGGTCCTTGGCTGGTCCTCTCCGGCCGTCTCCTCCTCCACTTGAGGTCTCATCCCACAGCTCAAGGACCTTGTCCACCTCCTGTGCTGCCGCAGCATCTTTACCTCTTCCTACAGCTCCTTGAACTCTGGTCACCACCTGTGCTGCCATGGCACATGCAGCGTTGTCACAGGCAAACACAGTCTGCTACTCCTCAGTCCCTCCTGAGGTCTTCAGAGGGCTCCATACCCATCTGCTTCGAATTATCTTTCCGACTTACGACAACTGTAGTGGCAAGACAGGGACAGAGCAGGTTTCTATGATCTGAGCAGAGTGGGTAAAGGAGGAGTCCTGGAGCTCTCGGTGGCTTTCTCAGGCTTTTATTAAGCTTTTACATGTAGTGCAGCAACCAGGTACATGGCAGGCACCGGTGCCAGGGGGCCAGGAGGCCTGGAGGCCTCCAAGCCCCAGGCAAGTTTTCACTCTGGGCTTCTCTAGCTTCTTCCTCCCCTTCTCTCTCCTGCTTCTTCTGCTTCTCATGCTTCTGCTTCTCTTGTCCACTATCTCAATACTCCTCCCATGGCCCACAGAAGTAAACAACACAACAATGTAACAACTGCAGGTGCCCCATCAGGCAGGGCAATCCTAATGGTGGGAGGGCAGAAAAGCCTGAAAACTATTTACACTACAGCTAGCATCTCCCAAGGCCTGACTAGGGCAACAGGAGGTTGCCCACTGGTTTGAATCAGCTAGCCACCTTACTCCATAGGTTACCACACTACTTCTAAGATTGTTTACTAACTTTTACCGTTTTTTTGTCATCATACATTTATTTTTAATGTAGCGTATCAGTTTCACATTTTCTAAAGTTAAGCTATCATGTTTTTCATAGACTTTTCAACAAATGGATAAGAGAGGCAAGAAGGTTTGCCTAAGTCTACAAGTCACAATGCACATGTAGCACTGCCAGGGATTTATTCATGTTTGAGATAAATATATATATATATATATATATAATGTTCCCAATACTTAGCAAAGGAATGACAGGCTGGCTGAGGAATATATTAACACACCTTGTTATGTGAGTATATTATCATAAAAGACAGCAGACAGCAAATATATAGTTTGCTCTTATCCATTTTCTGGTTAAATATACCTAAAAGGGGAAAAACAGGCATTTTTACTTGCAAGGTGAAAACAGGCCATCAATTTGATCTCTCCTACCCCACAGCTATGAAGACTAAAATGGCTTTTCCTGCTTCCAGCTCACTTGAACATCTTATCTCTGCTGAAGCCAAAAAGAGTGGTGGTTCTGAAGAACAGGGAATACCAGCTTCCCCACTGGGAAGCTCACACACAAGTTGCCTTTAAACAAAACAAAAACAATGCAACTAAGTTGAGCCAATTTCCATTCAATGGAATTACTGCTTCAATTGTTCCTTTCCAGGGAAATACTCCCTCTAGGGGCTTTAGGATCAAGTCCTGCCATCCAACCAAATGCTTTAGGATGGAACTGGTACCTGAAATTTTCCTTAATGTTGTCTCCAAATTTCAGTTCAAGCCCTCATAAAATCCGGGTGTCCTCTGGTCTTCAGAGTCATAAACCTACTTCCCCTAATCTCCCACGGTGGTGAAATGAACTGACAGGCACACAGAATTCACAGAACATGAAAAATAGGCATATTCCCATCAGTGAAAGCACAGTAAGGCTTCTGTAATTAGAACCAGTTCTCTCAATTGAAACCCTGCAGTACCTTTTATAGATAAAGGTCCTTTATCATCATGTGTGTTAATAAATGTAGGAAAGCGCCTATAGAAGCTTAAAAGCATCTGTGTCCCTGGGATGTCTTATGCTAACAGATGACTGGGCTGCCTTTTCTTTACTGTTATTCATAAGGGAAATTTGGAATTTGTTAACTTATTGAAATCCCCTTTAGACTCTGGTCAACTCACTTTTAGCCCTTCTTTGCTTCTCCTGTCCTCTCAGTTAACAGAACAACTGAAAATGTCCTGATAGAGTTACACTCTAGTGGAAATGTCATTATCGCTGTAAGTGGATATTGACATAAAACCGACTTAGATTTGAACCCTGACAGGTAGAAGCTGTGTGACCTTGAGCAAGTCAATTTCTCTGTCTTGTTTTTTTCTGTAAAATAATCTCTGGTCATAGCCAATCGTTATCTCTAAATCATTATACATATGTAGTATTTACCCCAGTATGTGTCACTTTGGCATATGGATTGTTTCAAGCTGAGGTTAACTGAGGCCCTGCAGGCTCAGCAGACACTTTAACCAACCATTCCTTAAACTACCTTGAATGAAAATTGGGCGTATTATCCAGATTTTGGATTTTTTTTTTAACCAGAAAATAACCTTTCTATTGGAGAAACCTATCTACATCGCAGAGCAGACCTGTAATTTATAAAGCATCTGGTCTTTGTTATATGAGTCATTTCCTTATGTGAGTCCCTCTCCTCTCTCCTTGAACTCCCAGGTCACTATCCCACTGTATCGCTCAGGGCATTTTACCCCATTGGCTTTAGAATCCACACCATGTAGATTCTCTGTATGTATGTAATTAAATTTGGGTTTTCTCCTACTAATTTTTCTGATATTAATATGGTTGCTTGAGCAGCCTGAGAAAACTCAGGACTTAGGGGGTCATTTCCTCTGCCCCTACATCTGTATCAGTCATTGTTCATTTAGTCCTTACAACAATCCCTAGGAGGAAGAAACTATAGATGAAGTTATTGAGGTAGAGAGGCTGAGTGACTTACCCAGGGACACACAGCTGGTGAACTGCAGAGCCAAAATTCTGACAGTCTCCAGAGTCCTGGCTTTAACCACATCTACAGCCTCTTCAAATGAAAACATAGCTACTGAAGGTTGTTTTGAGGGTTAAATGAGATAATGTGTGTAAAGCCTAATACTCGACCAAGTATCTGATAGGTAGCAGTTGTGGTTGTTATGGAAGGTTTTCCCCTTCTGCCCTGGGGAAATCTGGATGACTTTTACTTGGGACAGAAAAAACAAGGTTGGAGGGAAGAGGACCCCAGTCAGAGAAAAGGAAGAAGGCGCGGTGGAATGCGGGAAGGGAGAGAAATTGTAAACAAGAAGTGAGGCGGAGGGAGCCCTGCCTACTTAGGCAACAAGAAGTCTAGCTGGCCGGTCTGGAGAGAACATGGTGACAGCTTCGCAAGGGACCACAGAAGCTTGCCCACCTTGCCAACCGAAGAGCACCTATTCAGCCGCGAGGCCTCAGGCCCCTGGCCCGGCCCCACGGCCCCCCCCCCCGCCTCCGCCGCAGCCCCGGCTCCGACCACCAGGGGGAGGGGGGGCGGGGAAAGGGCCCGGCTCCCAGTTTTCCCGGCTTCCCCGCCGCGGATCCTCCCCACGCAGGGCGGGGCCTGCTTCGCCCCCTCCGCCCGGAGCCCGGGAGCCCCAGGCCCAGCGGCGCGGGCCACGCCACGCGGTGTCCGCGCCCGGGGCTCGGGCCGGCTGGGCGCGATGGCGACTTGGCGGCGGGACAGCCGGCTGACTGGCAGCCAACGGCTGCTGTGCGCTGGGCTGGCGGGGGTGCTCAGCCTCAGCGTCACCGCGCCGCTGGAGCTTGCCACCGTGCTGGCCCAGGTCGGCGGGGCGCGCGACCGCGCCCGGGGGCCGTGGGCCGCGGGGCTCCGGGTGTGGCGTGCCGAGGGGCTCCGGGCCCTGTGGAAGGGGAACGGGGTGGCGTGCCTGCGCCTGTTCCCCTGCAGCGCCGTGCAGCTCGCCGCCTACCGCAAGTAAGAGCCGGGCAGCCCGGGAGGCGGGAGGCCGTGCCCCCGCCCACGGCCCTGTCGTGGGCCGCAGCCCCCATCTGGACTTCGTGGGCAGTTAGGCCAAAACTGCCCTCAGGGCAGTTAGGCCAAAACGCCGGGGCCCCCTAAACCGTAACCTCCCTCCTTCCAAGTTTTTCCGCCTCTCTTGCCCCGCAAGGAGTAGTTTTGTGGGGCGCTGCCCTGGCGCAGAAGTGGCTTAAGGTGGGACGCGAGGTGAAGATTCGGGGTGGGGGGGGGGGAGGGAAGAGATGTCCAAAGGAAAAGCTCCTACCCGGTCTCCCTTCCACCAACTTGGGCTATTTTGCCATGACTGTCTTAGGAGGAGAGAGACCCTTTTGAAGGGTGTATGTGAGTGTGTCTGTGACCAAAGCCTCTAGAAGAAAATGCTGGGTAGGGTGTGAGGGCCCCATGCGTGTGCCCCGCCCTCCCAAAGGAACCTTGATGTCGGGCTGCAGCTGAGCCTGCAGACCTTCTGCTCAGCCTTCTGCCTCAGGCCCCTCGCTGGCCCGGGCCCAGTCTTCCACAGCCGCTTAGGGAAAGATCTAAGGTCCTTTTTAAAAAAAAAAAAAAAGATTGATTTATTTATTTACACAAGCACTGGGTACAGTCAGAATTGCTGGAAGGTGAGAGAATTCACCAGAGCCAGAGCGGGGAGCAGAGCAGGCAGACTGACAAAATACGCTGCTGAGGGGAGCAGCGGGCAGCAGGAGAGGTCTGCGCGCCATGTGCCGAGAATCGAACTGGCACTGCAGAGGCTGCAGGCAGCTTCGCAACCCAGCTCTCTACCACCCAGGGGCCGGGAATCAAGCTGTTGCTGAAGAGGCTGCGGGTAGCTTCGCAAGCTAGCGCTCAACCACTGAGCCACCGGGGAGGTGCAAGATCTAAGGTCCTAAAGAGTGTTAAAGCTACCTCACTGCTAAGAGAAATTTGCATTTGATCTGGAAACAACCTGAAAGAACAGTAAAATATTCAGTAAACAGTAAAAATTTCAGGAGGGAAGGCTGTTTCTGTGTTTGGAGAGATGGTCCCTGTGTTCCACTTTCAATGGGCACAATGCTCACCTTGAAGCCTGGCCTTAGCTCGGAATTAGACATACAGCTGGTGCTTTTGACCAGTAGTTCAGGCTTGGAAGCTGACTGTCCAAGCATTGTGCCTTGACATTGGGAAGCCAGTGTCCGCCTCTGAGGAACTTCCCAGTTCCTCACTGGGAAGCCAGAGCTGAAATGCTCACCTAGCAGCTGACTACGCGGATGCCTTTGCCTTCGCGGAAGGAAGATAGTGAGAGCCTTCAGGCTTTTCTGCGGAGGCTTTCCTCGCTCCCCAGACCCCCTCGCCCTCAGTAATATCTGGTCTTGCAGTTGGTAAACAGTTCTCTGAGTTTTAGTGACTCAATTTCTCCCCACTTCCTCTCTATCAAGTGTATGGAATCTTCCTTTAGACTGTGACCCGAGGGGAGGAAGACAACTTTAAAGGATGTTTAAGTTTTGTGGCTTTTCTGTTAACCACCTAATGTATGTACATCATTAAGATTTTTAAACAGTTTTATTGGAATACCATTGACATGTGAAAATATTTTATAGTTAAGTTATACTACTTGATGTCTTGATAGATGTAGGCTTTATGAAATGATCATCATAATCAAGCTAATTACCATGCATTTCCTCTATGTAGTTATTCGTGTGTGTACAAGTGTGCATGTGCGTGTACATCATTGGAGTTTTACAGCTTCTGCCTTCTGCCCTCTAAGGTCCACAGGGCAGGAAGTATTATGCCCATTTTACAGGTGCGGAATGGTCACACTGCTTGTCAGTTAGCAGAGCTGGACTCTCCCACCCTGGTTTCTGAATCCACATCCCATACTCATTTCTGTTATATCATGCTGCCTTTCTCGCTGCATTCACTTGACACTGATTTAGTGAGGCTTCATGGAATACCCACTGTCTGCATTATGCTACGGACCATGTAAGGATGAAAGGGGCCTGATCCCTGTGCCCCAGACTTTAGAGTAATAGAAAAAAAAAAAAAAAAAGACTAGTGTGTCCATAGCGCATGCTTGCTGTGGATTACATGGTACAGAAATTTTGGCAGGTGATGTCATAAGCACAGGCACAGAGGTGGGAAGGCATGCAGCATGACTGGGGCCTAAGGTGTGTTTATAGCAGTAGCGGGAAATACATCCTGGAAAACTTGTTGTAGTGAGATCTTGGAGGCCTGGGTTAAGGAGTTTGGAATGGATATGCAAGGATGGCAGTGGGGGACTTCTGGGAGAGGATGCTTTGATGAATGTGATTCAACAGAAATTATTGCCACCCAGAGGCAGGGTAGGATGACTAGAGAGGAGGAAGACTTTTAGTGGTGGTACCAGTTAAAAACCTGCTCTACTAGCCCTGTGGCAGCTAAGGACACCTGAAATAGGCTGGCGACCTTAGGAGAGAAGAGATGTGTGGGAGAGGAAGAATAGTTACCTGGGCTAGGTGTGCTCATCTTTTTTTTTTTTTTCCTTGTAAGACTACTATCCGGAAACTAATGGGAAGTATTTCTGTGAATGACTAGGCATAACTAGAAGGCAGAGTGCTTGATTAATCACAGTGCCATCCTTCCTACATAAAGGTGATTCCTTTCTCCATCATTTCACTGATTAACCTTTGTTCTTTCCCAACCATGGATTTGCAAAAATAGTTGGCTGGGGGTAACGGTACAGCCTGTGATCATGGGTTTTTAACACAGCTCAGGCATCCCGGTTCAGGAAATGGAGTGGTTGGGTGACTTGTCCATAAACACAATGGTAGAACTGGAGCTTGAAACCAGGTCCCATCCACCACTGCACTGCTGAAATGTCCACTTACTCAGATTTCAGGTCAAAGCCGTCCACTCCGTAGAGTCTATCAGGAGCAAAGTTCTCATATAGTAAAATAATACCTAAGGCAATGGACAGCTTTCAGACATATCGGACTGTATACCTTCCTCCAATTTGACATCTGCTTGTACAGATCTTGACTTGGGTCCCTGCAGCTCTGAAATTGTCCATACCCAACACCATTCCTTGCTGTGTGACCACTCCATGGGCTGTACTGGCAGCTTTGGCCACTGACCTGTGTCAGGCTGAAGTGTCGACAGCATTAACTACAGATACTCAAGGGTGTTGAGCAATGTCTGTGTGACTGAAAGGAAGACCCGTAACCAGTCTCACTGGAAAAAGCTTCCGGGCATCTGGGGGGGGGGGCGGGTGCAGGGAAGAGCAGAAAGGGGAACATGCTGCCCAGCCAGTCAGGCAAGATTTTTAAAAGTGGGAACCAGGATGATGTCACTGATGGCCTATCAGAGTTGCCTGCCTTGATTTTGTGATTCTAAACAGAAAGATTGTGGGCCTTGTCCCTGTATCAGATGGCAGGAGTCTGAGAAGAAAGGACTCTTTTTAGTTCTTATTTTTAATTTTGTATATTTGACAGTAAGACCTTACTTTATTTTATTTTTTTTAAGATTTATTTATTATTTATACAAGAACGGGGATACAGGCTAGATTTGTGGGAGGGTGAGAGGACTCACCAGAGACAGCGGGGAACAGAACAGGCAGACTGATGAAATACACTGCTGAGGGGAGCAGCGGGTGAGACAGGAGAGGTCTGCCGCGCCATGTGGGACCCTCGCAGGCCGACTGGGATCAAACTGGCACTGCAGAGGCTACGGACAGCTTCACAGTGCTGTGCTCAACCGCCTGCGCCACCAGGGGAGGCCCAAGACCTTACTTTAGAAAACAAACTCTCCTAACACACGGTTCCTCTTCCTAGTTCAAGTCATTCAGTGAACTGAGGACCTGTTTTCTGTTGCCCCTATGACAGCTGACCTCTCTTAGGAGCTATGCTGAGTGTTGTTAGCACAGTGTCTGGCACCTTGTAGATGTTCACGAAATGGGGACTGAATGAATGCTTGCCCTGAGCGTGGCCTCAGAGGATAGGGAGTAAGGGCGAGGCATTGAGAATGAATAGTGGTGGTGTTTTATTTTGTTTTGTTTTTGGCCTTTCAGACTCCTTCTAGGTTTTTCCAACTTCCTGCAGACCAGCTTTCCAGCCAAGCATTTCCACTTCCCATCTTCCCTGCTTCTTCTAAGGTTCCCCCACAACTTAGCTGGCCAGGGGAGGAAAGAGGGAGGAACGAGGAAATGAACAGTTAGTGAAATGGATGCAAATGCCAGCATCTTTAAAAGGTAGCTGGTTAACTCAAATGTGTGTGTCAGTTGGTGGTTAAGGCACATTGACAAAATGAAGTAAGACTTGCCTACAGCTTGAAGATGTTATTTATCCATGAATGTGTACTGGAGAGCTAGCGAGCCTTCTTTGAACCCCGTCTGTGATTTCAATGGAACACCTACTTGTCTTATTTAGTGTGCAGAGGGCTCTGGCCTGCTGCCAATATGAAGGATCAGGAAGGGCACCTCTTCACTGGAGGTTTGAAAGCCAAAGCACTGGGGATGCTCTCAGTTTTTAAAAGATACAATTATTTCAGCCTCATTCTGTTCACTCTCTTTTTCTTCAAATCCTTGCTGTCCCCCCTCTCTCCCTACCCCACTTTCTGGCAGAAAATATATTCCCCTAGCTTCCAAGCTTTTTTTGATATTGTCCTCATCAGCAAGGAGGAGTAAAATCCCTTTGCTTCCTAGCCAAGCAGTGTGTGCCATATAAAAGTCCCTTTTACCAATTTCTTGGGTGTTTTTGGCTTGCTGGCTTTTCCGGAAGAGCATGAGACTCTAATCCGAAGGTTGTGTGTTTGAGCCCTATGTTGGGTGGGCATTTAAAAAACAAAACAGGGGGCCTCCCTGGTGGCACAAGGGGTTAAGCACCGCACTATGAAGCTATCCTCAGGCTCTGCAGCACGAATTCAATTCCCAGGCAGCCAGGGAGCAACCCATATGGTGCAGCAGTGCTCTCCTGTCTCACCCACTGCTCCTCTCAGCAGTGTACTTCAGTCAGTCTGCCTGTTCTGTTCCCCTCTCTGTCTCTGGTGAATCCTCTCACCTCTGGCCTATACCCCAGGGTTCTTGTATGCATAAATAAATAAATCTTAAAAAAAAGAATAAAGTTGGATAGAAGCTTAGTCCCAGTCCTTGTAGATTTGTTCTCCTCGCCTGTAACCAATGGGGAAAACTAGGTAGAGGGTATAAAAGACCTCTCTATTATCTTTATATCCAAGTTCCTGTGACAATAATTAGTTAAAAAATAATAATAAAAACCAAAACCATTTCTTCCAAGGTAGGAAGTTTGACTGAGGAAGCTCTGTGGATTGTAACAGAGGCTTTCTATTTTGCATTTGGAAAGGGCTACCCAATGACACTTTTTGATGAAATTCTGAAACTACAATTACAAAGAATTATCCAGCAAACATTCATATACCCACCATCCAGAATTAACAGTATAAAGAAACTTCAGTTATCTTTTCTCAAATACAAGAAATATGCAATGACACAACACATGCTATGGAAGTTCAAAAAATGACCAAAAAAAAAGAAATAGAATAATATTACAGATAAAACTGAAGTCCTCTTCCTTCTTATTCCCCATCCTACCGCCTCCACCTTCCCAAAGGTCTATTTTACACCTCTTTGTATGTACTTGTCCTTTTACAAATCTATGGTATGGTTTTGTGGATGTGTTTGTTAAATCAGATAGATGCTTACCGTACACTATGTCACTCTTCAATTTGCTTTTTTCATGCAACTGTATGCTTTTATGCTTTATGCATTTGCTGCATAGTTCTAAGCTCATCCATTCTAACTACATAGCATCCATTGTATGACTGTACTAAAATTATCCATTCCATGTATATATATATATATATATATATATATATATATATGCAAGAGTTTATGTAGGACATGCACCTAGACGTGAAATTGTGAGGTAAGGGTAGGCGTCCTTCCATCTCAGTAGATGCTTCAAAGTGACTGTAGCAATTGGTGCTTACCAGCAGTGGCTGAGAGCTTCTGCTCCCCCATGCCCTCACCATCTCTCAGTAGTATCACACTTTTTATCATCCCCAGTCTGCGAGGCGAGACATGGCATCTTGCTGTTGTTTTTATTTGCCATTTTCCTGACAACTGTGGGATGCATTGTGTATAATTGTCAAACCAGTATGTCTTTAAATTCACTGACTGGGCATGCTCCAAGTCATCATTTCAAGCTGTTTCATTTCTTTTACAGAACCTAAGGCGCACATTCCAGTTTGGAATTTACCAAGTACTTTTTTTTTTTTAAGATTTATTTATTTGTTTATTTATTTACTTATACAAGCACTGGGTACAGTCAGAAGCGCGGGAGGGTGAGAGAATTCACCAGAGCCAGAGCGAAGAGCAGAGCACGCAGGACTGACGAAGCACACTGCTGAGGGGAGCAGCGGGCGGCAGGAGAGGTCTGCGTGCCATGTGGGACCCTCGCTGGTGGCCGGGGATCGAACCGGTGCTGCAGAGGCTGCGGGCAGCTTTGCAGCCCAATGCTCAACCACTGTGCCACCGGGGAGGCCCTGAATTTACCAAGTACTTCTGTGCATTTACAATCCAGGGTTGACGGTCAGGTTATGACAGGAAAATGCTTTCAGTGAGGTGGGAAGGCTTAGGGCAGATGAAAATAAGAAGTTGGACATCTTTTCCTTAGAGCAACTAGAATTATATAAATAGTGTGGGAATGACTGGTTTTCATGAATTCTAATACATTAGTAATTTTCACCTTCTAAAGCATTTCCAAATGCTGGAAAATGAGTAGTGTGAATTCCTCTGGCACCAGCCATAGCTGATCCCCTTGGGCTTTCTCTCCTGTTTCCTCCCAGGTTTGTCATGCTTTTCACGGATGACCTGGGCTGCATTTCCCAGGGCAGGTCCATCATGGCCGGGAGTCTCGCTGGCATGGTTTCCACCATTGTGACATATCCTACAGACCTCATCAAAACCCGACTGATAGTGCAAAACATGCTGGAACCATCTTACAAGGGGATCCTCCATGCTTTTTCTACCATTTATCACCAGGAGGGGTTCCTAGCCCTTTATCGAGGAGTTTCCCTTACTGTTTTAGGTAAGATGGGACTTTTCTCCTTGTCCATGAAAGGCTGTGTTCTTTGGTGTGTATGAATGTATTATATACCTTTATAACCAGTTCAGTCTGTTTTATTGAGGTCAAGGTCATATGGCTTCCATTCATATAGAGCCAATTAGTTTCATCCCATTCCATCCCATTCCTGACTTTGGCCTGTCATGTCCCAGTGAGAAGTAGGACAGAGAGTAGAGGTGACTCAGCACAAAGTGATGGGAAGACAACCCCGCACTCTTCCCACCTGACTACGCATGCATGCTCACGTGTACGAGCACAAGCAAAGTAGCAACTGTGGTCTTTCCAACCTTTGCTAGGGTTACAGACACACAGGTCACCACAAACACTTGCCAAATCCGGTAGACTGCCATCCTTTACCTGACCTACATTGCAGCATTGATGATGTTGATCACCCCAGCTCCTGGAAACTTAGCTCCTAGGACCCCACCTCTGGGGGGGTGGGTTCTTAGCTCCTAGGTCTTTCCCACCTCTCTGGCTGCTCTTGTCTCACTCATCAGGCTTATGTGACACTGCCAGCCTCCTACACATTGCTATGCCCTTGGGTTCCTCCTTTGGCTTCCTTTGTACCCTCTACTTATTCTTTCTCCCCTGCCCTTACGCTTTCCCTCCTCCTCACATGGCTTCATCTAATCTAAGGGCCTGAATAAGCGTCATTATACACTAATGATGTCCAATCTCATCTCTCTGGTAACAATGACTCTGGTGCTTTGTGCCAGGCCCTGTGCTCAGTGCTTTGCATACAAGTCTCATTTTACAGACAGGGAAATGGATGCTTAGGGAAGCTAAGTGACCTGCCCAAGGTCATAGATAGACAGCAGAAGAACCTAGCAACATAACCCCAGAGCCCTCTCTCCTACCCACTGCACCAATTCCCAGCGGCAGTATGAAGACCTGCTATTGAACACCTGCACCTAGGTGCTCCCTGGGTACATCAAACTCGGGACTAAACCTGCTGTCCTTGTTAGTCTCACACCTGCTCTCCTGTGTTCCCTAATGAATGAGACCACTCTCCTCCCACGCAGTGACCCAAGCCACAAGAAATGTAGGAATCACTTCATCTCCTCACTCCACTCCCGTATCAGTCACCAAGTGCGGTCCATTGATCTTTTTGAACTCTCATGTCTGCCCCTGCCCCCTCCCCCCGACCCGCACACCCATATCCTCTGCTCTAGGTTGCTCTCATCTTCTCTGCCCCAGACACTCAGGCAAGGCACCCACCTGGTTCTAGTCTTGGGTTTCTCCTGCTTCAGCCCGCCCTGTGCATTGCCACCAGGGTGAAGTAATCTTTCAGATGCAAGTTGATCATTTCAGTCATTCCACTGCCCTCCTTAACAGCCTTCAGCAATTCTTTCTGAGCTACAGGGACAAGCCCAGTTCTTAATGGCATCCCAGCCCCTGCCAGCCTGTCTGAACTTATCTCCTCCCACACCCACCTGCATGCCTGCTCCAGCTTTCAGAAATACTTGCATTTTTTGAATATACCAATCCCTTTGTCCAGGCCCTTCCCTCTGTGTGGACTGCCTGTCCACTCAATGGCTCATGAACTCTTACTCATTCCTCAAGATCCAGTTGAACAGTCCTCTCTTCTTTGAAGTCCTTCCTGATTTCCCCAGGCAATATTAATCCCTCTGATCCTTGCATACCAAATGCATCTTTTATGGCCTCTGTGATTGCACATATCAGCAATCTCTCTTCTCCACTAGATGGTGAGCACCTGTGGGGACTGGCCTGCTCCTTTTTATATTCCCGGCACTAGCTATAGGATCCAGCACATAACATACGCTCCACAAATATTTTCCAATGAAGGGAAGTGGGTGTTGGTGAATTTTTAGTATGGTTATAAAATAAATATTACACTTCTCCTAAAGACAAGCAATCCCACTTTTGTTACCCCTGTTTTAAATCTCGTTAAGAGGATTCCTGAAGTTTTTGGAAAAAGTGCCACCTGCTGCACTACCAGCTCACCCTCTTTTTCTAGAAAGGTGAGGATAACATACAGTGTAGTGTGTCCACTGGAGCCTGAGATGGCCACATTCTCAAAGGCAAGGTCAAGTAACCTCCCTCACCACTTCAGTCTCACTTTGCAGTTTCTTAAAATACTTCCTTCTCAGCGGGAGACAAGTCTCTCCTCACCTCCAAAACATGAGATGCCACCCACTAACTTTTCTTTTTATGAGAGTCATTTTCCTCCCCCATTTCATCTTTTTAAATTTCAAACATCCAGAAAAAATTGGAGTTGGAAACCCCCTCCATATATACCTATCTTCTAGATGCTTTGATGACATCTTATTTGCTCCTGTGACCTCTCCACCTACCCATCAGTCCAGCTTCTATATTTTTTCGTTTCCAAGTTGCAGCCATCAGTACACTGCACCCTTCAATGCATGTATCATTAAATAGAGTTAATTAGACCTTTATGGTTCTTTTGAAAGTAAAATTTACATACGGTAAAATGCAGAAGCCTATAGTGAGCCACACGGGCACATCTTGACAGTTGACACTGTCCCTCTCAAAATACAGCACATTACCATCCATCAAAAAAGTTCTTTCCTGCTGCTTTTGATGGGGTGATTTTAGCAAGCCCAGAGCCCATCCTTCTTACCTCCCCTGGGTTTCCCCCTATTCTCTAGTCGCATTTCCTGAGACTTCAGCGGCTCTTCCTGGCCTTGTTTTGCAGGTGCTCTCCCTTTCTCCGCCGGCTCCCTTCTCGTTTACATGAACCTGGAGAATATCTGGAATGGACCCCGAGATCGGTTCACTGTCCTCCAGAACTTTGCCAACGTGTGCCTGGCTGCCACCGTGACCCAGACCCTGTCCTTCCCCTTTGACACCGTGAAGAGAAAGATGCAGGTGAGGAGTTAGGTTGGAGTGGGCATCAGGGGGACGCCTCCAAGTGGGTGGGTCTCAACAGCAAAGAACACCAGCCTGGATGATGCCAGGTTTCCAAGGGCTCAGGACTGCTCATGCTGATACTTTTCAGACCCTAGCTCAGTGGCATTTCTGCTCCAACCTCAGGGCTGCTGGCTCCCCCTTCCCATGCTCGACCTTCGTAGGTCTTGGAAGAAGCCTCCAGAGGAGGCCCACTTTTCTTTGCTCTCTTCTTAATGCCACCAGTGCAGCCTCCTAACTCTCCCTCTCCCTGTGGCCTCCACAGGCAGGACACAGCATTCTTTTTTTTTCCTAGCCACTCTTTATGTCAGTGCAACAGAACAGAAAGAACCAGAATAAACCAGGAGCTTATCATTCATGAGGGTCCAAAGGATCCAACAGTACCTGACTTCCTTGTCTAGGGAGTAAATGCATTTGAGACGGGACCGTGTCTTAGAGGCATTGGTCTTGCTTTTTCCTAAATGCTGCCTGTGAAAGTTCACGTGTTCTCTACAGACCATGAAGGCAAAAGCCTGTGTCAGAGGTCCCAAAGTTGTGAGTATTTGGCTTAGAATCAGCCAGATTTGATTAAAAACAAACAAAAATTGGGCCAAGTGAGACTGGGGGTTCCAGAAGGGTCTGTGCAGAGGGGGCACTCTGAGCGTCCTAGCAGGACTGCGGCTTGGCTTCCTCCCCTTGCCCTGCTTACTCTGGCTGCTTTCCTTACACCTCAAGTCCCGGGGCTCTTCAGGACAAATCTTGATGGATACAATTGATGTATTTTTAAAGAACTGCTCGAGATCCCTTGAATCCAGTTGCAAATGATCAGTCCCAGCGGACTTTGTCTTTCCCAGAGTCTCTCTTTTGTCCCACTGCTGTCTCAGTGGCTGTGATTGCCTGGGCTGGGCTATCCCGGGCTGAACTGGGTCAGGCCTCACCTCAATTACCTCAGCACTGAAAAGCCTGAAAGTGCCTATCTCAGCCTATAAGGAAACACTGCCAGTACATATTGAGATTGCACCCAGTTCTGCCTCTGCCCGTCAGACTTTTTATCTGTCAGGGCTGTGTTCTATCCTGTCCTTCATCCATTTGTCACAGTATTGTAACTCTCATGCCGATGCCAAGTTAATGTCTCCCTAGTGCATGCTTACGTATAAAGCTATTATTCCTCAGTTTTAAAGTAATGACCATATACTTAGAAATGGTTAAAATGCCAATTTTATGTTATATATATTTACCACAATGAGAAAATTAATGCATATAAGTCGTAGAAAATTTGGGAAATGCAGAAAAGTCCAAAAAAGAAAAGTTATCTTTAAACCCAACATTTGTGCACAATAATGATTTATAGTTTTTCTTCTGTGTATCTTCTGTGTGTAGGCATGCATATGTGTGTGTGCATGTTCAAATATAATATGTGTATATGGAAGATTATTTTTTTCTTAACAAAATTGTGTTGAAAATGTATATAAAAATTAGTATTCTTTTTTTCCAATTCTGTGTTGGATATTGCCCCAGGGCATCAAGTATTGAGAACATCTTTTTAATTATCACATAATATCCTGCCGTATGGATGTGCCATAAATACTATTTTTCAAACAACAAAGATTCATTCTTTCAAGGTTCTGGAGGCTAAAAGTTGTCTATTAAGGTGTTGGCAGGGCATGCTCCTTTCAAAGGATGTAGGGGGAGGACCCTTCCTTGTCTCTTGCAACTTCTGTAGCCCTAAGTGCTCCTTGGCCTTCGGCAGCATGGCTTCAGTCTCTGCCTCCACTGTGCCATAACTAACAGTCTCTCCATTTCTGAATCTTTAGGCTGTTTCCAATTCTGCAATATAACACTGCCATAAAAACCCTTTTATTTTTTCACATCTGTGATGTCGCTCTTCAGCTATATTCCTAGAAATCGACTTACAGGTCACAAGATAAAATAATTCTAATGCTCTTAATGAGGTCTTCACCCTAAAAAAAGTGGTAAGCTTACACTGGCACCCACGGTCAGTGAAAATGATTCATCTCCCCGATTTTCATCAACAGTAATTACTATCACTTTTGAAATCCTTGTGAACCTAATAGTTGCTAAGTATTATCACATTGTTTTCGTTTGAATTTCATTGATGATAAACAAAGTGCAAGTTTTTCATATATCAGTTGACCCTTTGTATTTCTGTGTTAATTTTCCATTGACGTCCATTGCCTGTTTTTTTTAGGATATTCGGCTTTTTCTACTGATTGGTAAGAAGTGTTTATATGTTAAAGATAGTAGCTCTTAGTCATTCACTGCACACGTTTGGCTTCCCATGCTGTTTATGTGTTGTTTTGTTGTACATATTTTAAATTTTCATGCAATTATATCTATTCTTTTTTGTTTCTAACTTTGCTTTTCTTGTAAAAGGCCTCCCCTGTCCCACAGTCATCATTTATGTGTTCTTTAAATACTTGCTAAACACTTTAATATGTATTTAAAATTTACCTGGTGTATGACATGAGGCATCACCTAACTTCAAAAAAACAGTTTACCAATTGTTTAAGCACCATTTTTGAATAATCTGTCTTTCCTCCGCTACTTTGTGAAGCAACATTAGCCATGTCCTAGGTGTCCACATATTCTAGGGTCTGTCTCAGGCTGTACATTCTATTCAGTTCATTTATCGGTTTGTTCTTATGCCAATACCACACTATTTTAATTCCTGTAACTTTGTAATACCTTTTCGTATGTAATGCAGCATCTCCCTCCTCATTGCCTTTCTTTTCCAACCTTCTTTTCTGCCTTAATTATTCTCAGTCATTTGTTCTTCCTGAGGAACTTTAGAATTGATCTTGTGATTATGATCAGAATTATGTTAAATGTATATATTTGAGATACTCTATAAAATATTGTCTTTCATTCAGGAATATAGTTGTCTCCTTTAGATTCAGTCTTCTTTCTTTAGATTGAATGATATGAATTGGCCAATATTCTACATTTTGGACATATTCAAGTGACAATTTCTTATGAGTCAACCTTTACAAATGTTGATTTCTTCGTGTGGTTGTTATGCTCTTTCTAAAAAAAAGATAGCTTCTTTTAAAAAAAAAAAAGCCAGGGAGAGTTTGAGTGGAAGGAGGTATGATAAAAGCTTTTTACTCAGTTTTTAGAACCCTGACCCTAAGAATTTCTTACCGCCAGGAATGAGAACAGGCTCCCTCTGATTGATCAACAGAAAGAAGATGGTTGAAGCAATGGCTGTTTATATCACTGATTTCCATGCTTTGAACTCAGCTAGTTCATTTGTTGAACTAGTAGAGCAGGAGGATCTCTCCAGCACTTTCTGCCATCTCTTAAAATTTAGTGTTCCTTAGGCATAGTTGAAGGTTTGGTGAACTGCCCCAAACCAGAGCTTTGAGCTTGGGTAGGGTGTACAGTGAGAAATTATTTCAGTTAAGTTCAATGTCATCTAAATAAACACAGGGTGAGGGAGTGGGGGTGGCTTCAGGCTTCTCCATAAACTTTTAGTTTTCCTTCTTCAAGCTGAGAGCCAAAACTGTGACTTCTGGGGGAATCTAGGCAATACTACACTCTGCTCTAAAATATATACTTACCACAACACTGTGCTATAAACTGGAGAAAGCTGAAGTAAAAGCAAGTGTTTGGGGGAGAAACCGGATCATCTTTTCCCTTGTGTGGAAACCTAGATTATCTTACCCAGAGCTTCAACAAGAAGCTTTAAAATAAATGCAAAGTCATGGTTGTAAACAAAATTTCAAAAGGTTAATTGTGCTGTTTTCACAAAATATGATCAGCATATTGTGGTCAGAGTGTATAGGAGTTAATAAGCAAAACACATTGTGAGTCCACCCCTCATTAAAAAAACAAACCAGGACCTCCCCTGGTGGTGCAGGCGGTTGAAGCCCCGCTGTGAAACTGTCCACAGCCTCTGAGGCGCCGGTTCAATCCCGGCCTGCCGGGCGAGGGTCCCACATGGCACAGCGGACCTCTCCTGTCTCTCCCGCTGCGCCCCTCAGCAGTGTATTTCGTCCGTCTGCCTGTTCAGTTCCCGCTCTGTCTCTGGTGAATCCTCTCACCCTCCCGCTCATCTGGCCTGTAAACTGTTTTTTTAAAGTTAGGTTATTTATTTTTATTTATTTAAAAATAAATAAATCTTTAAAAAAACAAACCAGCACAAGAATTTTAAAAGCAAACATGTCGTTGTTCTCCTTGGCCACTAGATGTCGCTGCAGCAAACAGAGCCTCTGAACACTCAGGGTATGAGAACCTTGCTGTTAATGATCTGTCTCTGTTCTGTTAACCACCTCCTGCTTGAAATACATCTTCAGTCTGGAGGACAGGGGTCCTAGAAAGAACAGGCTCATCCCAGATTTGGTTGTAGTTGTTTTTTCCTGCAAAGCGCATAATCCAGATTTTCTAAGAGAGATCTGATAACAGTCTGTTCCCTACGGGAGCAGGCAAGGGTTGCCAGCAGAATTTGTAATGAGAGAGCTTTGCAGGGCAGCCAAGCTGTTCTGCCCTGAGCACACTTAATGGTAATATTTGCATGCCATTAGCTTTCCCCCTTACACTGCCCGTCAGGAAGCAAATCAACGTCAGGTGTCTGTTAGATAACCGTTTGGACAGGGTATTTTTCAACCCGTGCTGACTGGCCACTTTGTCTGAATGTCTCGTTCTCCTAACAGGCTTTTATATGCACGTGCACATGTGCACAAACATACACGCACAATCTGCCCATTTAATGCCACATCAGGTTGGTACCCTCTTGAACACTAATAACAATAATCAGAAGGCTTATTTAACCAGCTGAGCCCTTCCTTCACCATGCGTACACTCATTTTATTCCTTTTTCTTTTTCTTGCCCTGACTCCTGGCTGGCAGGCTAGAGAATGGAGAGGTAAATAAATTATGCATGTGCATGTTTTGATGAAATGGTTGCTGGGGGAAGCAGGGTGGGCAGCACTGTGGACAAAAGAGAAATGAGATGCCCCCCA